ACAATTGTCAAGGAAGCACTCGACGCAATAGCTTAAAGTTGCTTAATTCCAATTTTTTCTTGTTTAAATTATTTAAATCTAATTCAGAGAAATAACTCACACATTTTTAAAATAAAAGGTCTTTTCAGGTCAACATGTTTTAAATTAAAACTCAACATTTAATTTATTTATAATATATAATATATAGCATATAAAACTTAAATTTAAACATTTTTATATATATAGCATATAAAATTTAAATTTAAACAGTCTATGTCACGCGGTGGCACCTCTGTTCGAATACTCTTCAGCCGTCATCGCATGTGCGCGCGCGCATGCGCGCGTGCGCGCCCGTTGCGATCGGTTCGGCGGCGCATCTGACGCGACGTGTCACCCACGATTCAAGTATAATACGCTCGCTCCTGCGGCGTGCGGAGTCAGTCTTGGGCAAGATGGCCGGTTGGTCGAGTGCGGCCCTTTATTGTTACCTCGCGTTGCTTCTCCATCTGGTTCTGCTTACGGAGTGCAATTACGGTGTGCGATACGGTGACAGGGCAAAAAAGCTACACGTCGCGGAATACAGCGAGTCGCGGTACAGGAAGCCGCTCGTCATCAACAGGCGAGACGTGGATCACGGCAACGATGATGGAGAAACGTCATTCGGCCGTACGCGCAGGGATGTGCCACCGCCGGAGCACCCGAACAACAATCCAAACATCACGACGAAGGTACGTATGTATGTATGTTGCGCGATCCGCTCGATCGTCCGAAGGTCGCCGCCGTCGCTACTGCCGCTGTCGTCGTCGCGGCTGCGTCGCAATTCGACCGGCCGCGTTGCGGCGACGATGACAACGGTGGCGGCGGCGACGGCGACAAGCAACGGCGGCGGCGGAGGTGGAGATGGTGCTGATGATGATAATGATAACGACAATCATAGACAGTGATAATGATAACGGCGATGATCATTCCGCGATCGTTACTCGCCGCGAGGAAGAGCGACCGAGAAAAACATCGTACGACTTCCGACACTCGCGCAAATAGACGCGTTGCACAAATGCATACATATATGTATACACACGCGTAACACGTAACACGTATATATACGCACGCACACATTCTCCGCCCTCTGTTGGCTGCTGCGTGTCGTTCTGCGGAATTTTTCCCAATGGATCGTCCGTCTCGTCGGGAGAGGCGCACAGCGCGGCCTTTGTGCGCGGCGCGCGGACAAGTCGGGGCAATAATTGCCGTATTATCTCTCTCTTCCGGAGTAAATTTAAAACAATCTCGAACAAGAGAGAAAGAGAGGGAGAGAGAGAGAGAGAGAGAGAGAGAGAGAGAAACGAGCGTCA